ATATTTACATAAATTATTTTTGGATATATACCACATACCTAACATATTTCGCGTCACATTTATGGAAAAAATTAAAGAAAAAAGTAAAAGATAAAAAAATTGAAAACCTAGGTTTGTTTTTCCGATTCTTTCTTATATATAGGGATAGCTACAACCATAATCAACCCAATTCTCTTTACTATTTGCATCTCTTCTTTCTATACGTAATTTTAGTTCTTAGGTCTCATATTTTTTCTTCTCATGCATCTTTATGGTTTTACTTTGATTTAAGTTATATTTACTGTAATAATGATTATCTTCTTCTTCTTACTCGCTTTGGTCTCAAGCGCGAAATATTCAACTCCAGCAATAGAAGTATTAACATCTATTCATGAAACCCTAATACTAATAGCGAATCTATGACGATTTTTTTTTCTTTTTAATATCCATAATATTTGCTTCCTCAATAATAATAGATCTAGAGTGGTTACGTCAATGAATCAGGCACCTACAAGAAGCTTATTACATATGATAAGGACTTGAGGAAGAGGTATACAGTTTCACGACTTGGGCCGAGGACTCACGATACTGAAATTTTGGTGAAAGTTTTGCGCTTTTGGCTAAACGATCACCCAACTTCTGCTAAAAGATTAGAGCTCATACTATCTGATGAAGAGGTATCGGATAAAGCCAAACAAAAACTCTGATAGATAATATTGATACGTTAGTGATTTTGTAACTATTGTATTATAAATATTTCAGGGAGAGAAGATTCAAGCAACTGTGCATGTTTCCGTTTATGAGGCTTATGATTGCAAGGTCAACGAGGGAGATTGGATTGTCATTAAGAATTTCGATGTCACTACTCAGACAGGACATTGTAGAGCTACTTGCATCTAAATCGAATATATTTGATGCCAACAACAATCATCACAAAGATCTATTTCGCTAGCGTAAGACACTTTTTCAATTTCGTTGATTTTGAAAAAATCATAGATGGTTCACACTGTGATGATTATTTAGTAGGTACGTATATTATATTCAAGTATAGTTAAACTCATATTCGAAAACCGTTTAATTATCTAACCCCTCTTTTATTGTTTTATTTTCTTACAAGATTTGATAGGAGAGGTTGTCAATATAAGTGAATCTACTATTTGGAAAGAGGCTTTGATTGAAAAACCGAGGAGTTATGATGCAGATAGTATCGATCCTAGCATCAAGTTTCAAATGAAGGCACCACGTTAACTCTCAGCCGCGGAATAAAAAATTATTACTGAGATGCCCTTAATGAAAATCTATGATTAAATCTTCATAATAAAAAATCACAGAAGAATTTCATAATAAAAAATCATTTATTTGAAATTTATATCTACTTTCAAAATTACATTCACAAATAGAAAAAAAAACTAAAACAACTAAAGAAAATCCAGAATTGAAATATAACAAAACTAATAAATTTTTAAAAGACCTCAACTATATAAAGATAGAATCTATTTCAAAAATATTGAAAATTTTAACTATCGAAATGAATTGGTAGGTGATATGCAAGACACAAACAAGACATAATAGATACATAAGTAAAAGAAAAGAAAACAGTGAAAAAGAAGATGAAAAATTTAGAAAAGAAAAAGAAAAGTCGAACATGAGGAAAAAGAAAGGAAAGAAGAAATAATGGAATGTGAAGAAAATTCCAAAACAAATGAAGAATATTACGTAGAAGAACAAGAAAGAGAAGATAAAAATAAGACACCTCAAGATTACAAATAAGAAGTTTGCGAAAACAAAAACGATGAATACAATAAAAAGTTGTACTACTTATATTATTTAAATCTTTAATTAATAATTGTATTTAAAAAATATTGTACCCGCACAAGGTGCGGGACAACCACCTTGTTACCAAGAAATAACGCGAGCAAATCGACCTCTGCTTCTTAAATATTCTTTGATTATATTTTTATGGGGTTAGGACAAAAGTGTCCGAGATTTTCTAAGTCGATTAAAAATAAAAATAATTCTATTTGTACTTTACTTCAAAGTTCAAACTCTTTTGACTTTGATTTTGAGACTGATAAACTAAATTTTTTTTTTATTATCTCATTATTTTTTCCAAATTTCGCTAATCAGTGTTTTTCTCATTTTTCATTTTTTATCTCAGAAATGGTGCACATTCTAACTCTTGAAGTTGATCTCTTGAAGTTGATCACATTCAAAGCTGATCTATGCAGAATTCTGAAGTTCATATCATGTTACCCAACTCAACATGATAAAGATTTAGGGACATAATTTGAACAAGCCATTCTTAGAATGGTTCCGTATATAGGCAATGTTATGGACAATTTTCCGAATTTGAATTGTTGTCCTAATCTTTAAGTTGATTTCCTACTTATTTTGGTGTTCCAACCCGACAAAAGATTGATACTTATTTTGATGTTTCAACTCAACAAAATTAGAATTTTTCAGTTATGAACCTTATTAAGCCATAGACCTCTTGTATGTCATATTTGATTATTATTAGCGTTAAATAATCTAAGAATGATCTTAAATAAAACATGTAAGATTTGGATAAAGGACGTGTGGATTGTGCAAGATTTGAACATGATCGTAAATAAATCGTATAAAATTTAAGATCATTCTTAAATTATTAAACGCTAGTAATAATCAAATGGTGAAGACCTTCTGATAATCTAGAGTATGACTAATCAAATCATGTTGTGTTGTGCCTGAACGAAGATTCATAAACATTCCCCAAAATTCTTAAAATTCTATAATAACTTCGTATTTATTTACAAAAGTTATGAATCTATAAATGTTAAAATTTTAAATAGTTTTGAAAACAAAGGTTTAATAGAATTTTTTTATAAGTCTTTAAATTCATTACCAGTATCTTAGCCACCTTTAGACACCGAAGATCTACCCAATACATTAGACCATAAACAATTTCAATTCATATGATTCTATTCCATTTTCTAATCAGATATTCATATTCAAATTGAATGCTTACATAAAACTAGGTAAAAAAGTCAGATATTATTTTATATCCGGATAGTTTTTTTGGGTTTTAAGTCATTTTGATACGAATGATTATGATCCACTATGGAACCAAAGTTCTAGAGACATTGGTTCTGGTCGATTTGCGTAATAAAACTGAAATCTGACTTAGTACTGAAATATTTTGGGCTGGTTTTAATCGGAACCAGACTTTTCAAACTAAATAAATTATCCAAAAATATCTGAAATACTCAAAATACCCTTAAAACTACTTGAAATATTACCCATGATAATGTTAAGGGTAAAAAGACATTTCATGTGATATTTCATACGGTGAATACGTCTGTGTACCGTAGTTTGGTTAGATTTGCAAATACTTTTTTTTTTGTTATCACCTACTTGACTCTTTTTTGTTTTACTCCAATCAGTTTTGTTGATCAATAAATCTAACGTTATCAACCAGTAAAATCTATAGAGTTTGTACCTTTTTAATAAAAAAAACAAGGTGTTGTCCCGCACCTTGTGCGGGTACAATATTTTTTAAATACAATTATTAATTAAAGATTTAAATAATATAAGTAGTACAACTTTTTATTGTATTCATCGTTTTTGTTTTCGCAAACTTCTTATTTTTGTAATCTTGAGGTGTCTTATTTTTATCTTCTCTTTCTTGTTCTTCTACGTAATATTCTTCATTTGTTTTGGAATTTTCTTCACATTCCATTATTTCTTCTTTCCTTTCTTTTTCCTCATGTTCGACTTTTCTTTTTCTTTTCTAAATTTTTCATCTTCTTTTTCACTGTTTTCTTTTCTTTTACTTATGTATCTATTATGTCTTGTTTGTGTCTTGCATATCACCTACCAATTCATTTCGATAGTTAAAATTTTCAATATTTTTGAAATAGATTCTATCTTTATATAGTTGAGGTCTTTTAAAAATTTATTAGTTTTGTTATCTTTCAATTCTGGATTTTCTTTAGTTGTTTTAGTTTTTTTTTCTATTTGTGAATGTAATTTTGAAAGTAGATATAAATTTCAAATAAATGATTTTTTTATTATGAAATTCTTCTGTAATAATTCAAGTTTTTTTAAAATACACCAAAAACTAAACCCTACCCCATCAATATAAACCCTACACCCTAAACCCAAACCCACAGTGTAACACCACCCCCTAAATAACCCAAACCCCACATTGTAACACCACTACCAAATAACAACCCCCTCCCCCCCAATCCGCACACCTAAACCCACATTTTACAAAATCTTTTTAGATAAGTTTATTCAAATTAGGGTTTCATAAGATTTAAGTTGAAAATAAAAACGAAAGATGTACATACCACTAATTTTTGTCAATGCATTTTTTTTGAGTTGGTACCATAGTTGATTTCTTTGACTCAATTAGCTAACAAACCTGGAATTTACTGTTATAAAGGTAAAAGAAGTAGAAGTTAGATGCGATTCTTTGAATAAAATTTCCAGAAAATAACGAATAATCAGTTAAACATTAGATCTAATACAACTAAGATCTAGCAATAACTATAAACCTACATGACAAAAGATGAAATATGGAATCGAAGAATTTAGAACACGAAAAAGAAGAAACGAAATTCTGTTTATTTTGCTTGTTAAATAGGACTAAGTCGGTTGTAAAATCTAGAGTTTTTTTAAAATACCTAATTATTTGATTTCTTCCAGAAAAGTGGTGCGGTAATATGATAGTTAGGATATTTATTTAAGTGATAAATATAAATCGAGGAAAAAAAAAAGGATAATTATCAATATTTAATAAGGAAATTAATAAGGAAATAATGAACTTTTATATAAAAAACGAAATTGTGAAATAATTAAAAAAGGAAATTCAGAAGATTTAATAATAGATTTTCATTAAGGGCATCTTGGTAATTCGCGGCTGAGAGTTAACGTGGTGGCTCCATTCACGAAAATTGATTTGCAAATACTAATATAACTGCATATTATTGTAAAACTTCTCATAATACAATTGCATATTATTAATGGGGTCGGCTTTAGGAAGCTAACTAACTGATCCAATTATATTTGGCCACGTTAGCACAAGATCTCGGCGGCGCGAAACTACGCGGCGTTTGCTCAGCACAAAAACGTAGCGCAATTTATTTAAAGCAAACAAAAGTCAGTTTGTACTTTGTAGCTATCTATCATCATCACCGGAGAGAAAAGTCCCCATTCACGGAGATATCCTACATAACTAAGCAAACTTAACCTTCTTCACAGCACAGCCCTTAAATCAGATTCACGATTTTATCTTCATTTTCCAGGTTCGATTTTCATTGAAATTTCGTGTTTTAACGCTGTGATTTTTTGGGGATTTAGGGTTTTTCGCTCTGTGTCTTTAGTTCCCGGATCCTGCTCCTTTGCAATAGATCATGTTAAATTTCAGGCCGAAATCACGTTTGATTGTATCGTTTGAAAACGTGATAGTAATCAGGAGTATGGTTTGTTGTGATTCTCGAGAAATTTCAGGAAAGTGAGAGTTTTCTATTAATGGCTGGTTGTTTAATTTAATCCCGAAATTTTCATTTTTTTCGGTGATAATTCATGAAAAGGAATGTCTTTTCGCTCGAATTTGTATCCAATTTTCCAGCTTTAGATGTTCTGAAAATTTCTGGGGAAAGTCGGAGATACTTAGATTCTTAGCTGATTCCGGAGATTGAATTTGTGGCATCCAATGTAGTTGATTTAGCTCATTTTCGTTTTATTATTGTTCTTACACTGAGTTTCGTCTTTAGATTGTTCAACATCCAAACGCTATTGAGCAACTAAGTGATTTTTGAGTTGTTTCGTTGATGTTTTAGGGATAGATTGATCATGGCAACTGCAACTATGGCAACAGCAGCTGGAGCAGCTGCTCTTCTATATTACACGTTAAACCGGAAATTAATAGCCGGTCCATCAGATGTTGACGATGAGAATTCGGAAGCTTCTACTACTACTACCACCACTCGCACTTCTTTGAGGATTGACCGTGTTTCGCATAGACTTATTCAAGCTCCAGCTACTTGGTTGGAGACAATTTCTACTCTCTCTGAGACTCTTCGTTTTACTTACTCCGAGACTCTAGGGAAGTGGCCAATTGGAGATCTTGCTTTTGGGATCAATTTTCTCATCAAGAGGCAGGTAGAGAACATCATCTGTTGATCCTAATAACTGTTGACAAGTTTAAGTTATTTTAATCTTGAAGGTGAAGATTTGGTAATTGTGTAACTAAAACCGCAGGGACTACTACATGTTGATCGTGTCTTTGGTGGTGAAGAGAGTATAGAGCTCAAAGGACCAGAAGTAGCTAACGAACTCAGATATTATTTGCACTTGTTGACTCTGTGCTGGCATTTCTCCAAGAAGCCATTTTCGTTGTTCTTGGAAGAGACCGGCTTTACAAAGGAAGACGTTCTTATTCACGAACCTAAAGCTGGGGTAAGTTATAACAGCTCTCAGACTTCTAAAGTTGCTTTTTCGACGTAGAAGTTGAGAATCAGTTTGTGAATTTTTTTGCATTATTGCAGATATTGAAGCCAGCTTTTACAGTTCTTGTGGATCACAATACAAATTGTTTTCTATTGTTGATCCGTGGAACGCATAGCATCAAGGACACCTTGACAGCTGCGACAGGAGGAATCGTGCCGTTTCACCATACTGTTGTAAACGAGAGAGGGGTCAGCAATTTGGTCTTAGGATATGCGCATTGTGGTATGGTTGCTGCTGCTCGGTGTATAGCAAAACTTGCCACTCCTTGTCTTCTCAAGGGCCTTGAGCAATATCCAGATTACAAAATCAAGGTACTTCACTTTTCCTGAAAACAGAATATAATCTTTAGTTTAGACACTTCAATCATTGTCCTGCATTTTGATGGCAGATCGTTGGGCACTCTTTGGGCGGTGGAACTGCTGCACTTTTAACTTATATTTTGCGGGAGCAGAAAATGCTCTCTACAGCTACTTGTGTTACATTTGCTCCAGGTTTTCCATCAAACATAGCTCTTCAGTGACATATGTTGATTCCTCTCCTACAGTATTAGACTGAGCTTTTGTTTCTTTGTTCTTCAGCTGCTTGTATGACCTGGGAGTTAGCTGACTCTGGGAACGACTTCATCGTATCTGTCATAAACGGAGCTGATCTGGTGCCTACATTTTCTGCTGCATCAGTGGACGACCTGCGCGCTGAGGTTAGATTTCACATTCTAGATAATTAGGAAAACGTTTGACCAAAGTGGCTTTATTTTAGTTTAAGAGTTTGCTCTTCCCTTTCCACCTCTTCAGGTAACAGCATCTGCTTGGCTAAATGATTTGAGAAATCAAATTGAACGGACTCGGATCCTCAGTACGGTTTATCGCTCAGCGACAGCTTTAGGATCACGACTTCCATCTATGGCCACTGCCAAAGCAAAAGTTGCTGGCGCTGGTGCAATGTTACGCCCAGTTTCTAGTGGCACACAGGTAATTAACTAAACTGAATATTTTTCTAAAAACTTAAACAGCTCTCAAGAGACTAAACTTTGTGAATAACAGGTTGTGATGAGAAGAGCTCAGAGTATGTTGACCCGTCCTGCACTAAGCTTATCTTCTTGGTCATGTATGGGACCCCGGCGCAGAGCCCCTGCTTCTCAATCAAACTCGGAACATCGGTTAGAGTCTTCTGAAGCAATGTCCGAAGATAGACCCGAGACTTCAGATCCTCTTCTTGTTACCACGTCAAGTGATTATATGGAAGAAGAAATCACCGATGTTGAGTGTTCTAATGACGATGACACATCTCCTTGTATAGGAGTCGCTGATCTAGACGAGTGCGAGGATCCAGCGGAAATCGATACATGCGAAGAGCGAATGACTGAAGCTGAGCTATGGCAGCAGCTGGAGCATGACCTTTACCACGACGATACTTCAGAGCTGCCTGAAGAAGCCGATGTGGCGAAAGAAATCGAAGAAGAAGAAGAAGCCGTCATAGCAGAGGCTGGTGTGGCACAGCCAGAGATAAGGACGTCTGAGATGAAAGAATCTCACAGGTTCCTCCCGCCGGGTAAAATCATGCACATTGTCACGGTCCGGCATGAGGCCATGGAGGCTAACGAAGAAGAAGAAGAAAACGGATCTGCCATCGAGAGGCATGAGACGGTGGAGGAAGGTAGAGTAGGAATCTTTCTGACGCCGAGGTCTTTGTATAGTAAAGTGAGGTTATCGCAGAGGATGATAAGCGATCATTTCATGCCTGTTTACAGACGACAGATCGAAGCGCTTATACAAGAGCTAACAACAGTTGAACAAACTTGAAGCTTCTCCTCGGCGTTTTTGTTTTGCTCTTTTGGCGGTAAAATTTGTATTTACAGTTGTAAATAACTTATCGTATTGACTAGTGAGAGAATTACAATAGAAGAGGCACTTTGGCACTTTATAATATCACTCCAAGGCACTTTCAACTATAGAGGGACTTTGCCCAAAAAAACTGATAGCGAAAATCCCAACATACCCTTCCTTTAAAATTTGCTTCATTCTTTCTTTTACGATTGACATTTTTTACTACGACTGCTGCAGTAACTTTGTGTTCTGTGCCGCCGCCGACGAATTAAACGGAAGAACAATTGTGAATCTAGGAGAGTTTTCTCTTTATACAACTGAAGTAAAGTAAATTACGAGATTTCATTGTCCAATTATGTATCGATAATCGATTTGGAAGATTTCGTCGTCGAATTCGTCGGAAATTTTTCTTTTGACAATTGGATCTGGAAAATTTTCAGTCTCGTTGAAGTTTGGAGAAGATGAATTGGGTTAACTCGCGATCATGTCCACATGTACATGTCCATGCAGTCGTGTACACGTCGTGATGCACCCATCTCAAGTTTATTTTGATAATTAAATTTTTAGAGTTTGAATGAGATGTGTGGGAGGACATGTTTCCGTGTACAAGATTTTGTGAACACAAAGATAATTAACAACTGAGTGAGTGTTTGTTGAGTTATTGTTTATCGCCTAGACTATTCCATATAACTGCATCCATATGCTTGTGTCCATACTTCGTATTCATATGGATATATAACACCAATGTTCATATCAATGTGTAAACATGGTTCTGAGATTGGTTCTCAGTCTATCCAAAACTCAACATACATGATATTGTGGATATGAATTCGTGGACAAGATAACATATACATATTTACCTCTCTCATTATCTTGGTCTTTCTAGCGAATTTCTTATGCCTCATATGGACATAAAATTATGGATACAATCAACAACAACAAATCGTGGACACAATCTTCTTTCATCAACATATATGTTTTATTGAATGCACAAATGCATCATGTTTAACTATATATCCATATGGATATGAAGTATGGACACAAGCATATGGATACAGTTCTATGAAACAGTTTAGTTGATAAACAACTCAACAAACACTCATTCAGTTGTTAATTATCTTTGTGTTCACAGATCATGTACACGTAAACATGTCCACATATACATCTTATGTAAATTATCAAAATTTAATTAACCAAACAGAGACGTCCAGATGGGCGCATCACTAAATATGTATATGTTATTCTGTCCACGATTGCGATTAGATGTGGACAAGTAGATGTGGATATGATTGCGAATTAACCCAGATTCATCTTCTCCAAACTCTGATCGAGACTGAAAATTTCTCAGATCCAAGAGCCAGAAGAATTTTTTCGACGAATTCGACGGTGAAATCTTTCAAATCGATTATCAATATAGAATTCGACGATCGAATGAGAGGCGAAATCTAGAATAAGGACGGAAAAAGAAACATCGGCGATGATGAACGACGGAGTGTGAGGCGGAATTGTTGATTTCCAGTGAAAGGTAAAAATAAGAAATAAAGAGTAAAGTAAAAAACAAAGTTATAATTAAAGAAAAGAAGAAAGGAGTGTTTAGTTTTTACAATGCTCCAAAGTTCCTTAGGAGTAGAAAGTGCCTATAAGTGTAAAAAAAAAAAGACAAAAGTGCAGTGTAACTCACTCTTGACTAGTATACTATATTTACGAAAGTTTATTTTATTTTTGATATTGCAATATTCGAATTTTTTTTGTTTTATATTCTTACAGAACGCACAGGAATGCTATTGAATATTGATGATCACCGATTGTCCTTGTTTAAAGGACTTTTCGTATTTTAAAATTAGGGGAAAGAATATAGGACAAGAAATATAAATCACATGAATCATGTACACGAAATGTTTATTTCTGGCCTAATCACGACTATAAGTATACTCAAATATCAAATCTAAGCGAACCTACGAGAATATATCATCTTAACATAATCCTTTTTTTAATAACAACTTAACGAGGAAAGAATGCCACGTATCCGGGTCAAATTTACCCGATCACCGTTGGTTTTGATGGGCGAAGAATCTCACCTTTGTTTGAATTGTTTCGTTCTACGATCACACCCATTTTCTCTCTCCAGCTTTTTCAATTTCCATGTTCCTTACCAGCAAATTACAAATTTTCGATAGCTGATTGATCTCAATACCCACCGGATTCTCAATCGCGTTTTGCCATATCAAAAATCTGGGGATCCTAGGGTTTTTCAAAATTCCAATACCGTATCTTGTTTGTTTGAAACCCTAGGCCCCTTTTGAGGTTCGGCGAGGTTTTGAGGTTTATGATTACCTATGGTTGGCTGGTAATTCGACATTTGAAATGAGCTCGGTCAATCTTCTTCTAAGCTCGAAGAACCCTAAATTTCGAGGGGTTTTCAATGGGATTTGTGCTGTGGTTCTGTTCTGCTTCTTATTTGATCGGAGCGACATAATCAGGAACCCTCTTCTAAGGAACGCGTCTTTCGCCGACGTCGGTAGTGGTTCTTCGGCCTCCAAAGGTAAATTCAACAATGCCTTCAGCCAATTCACGATCGCTCGTCGACATATGAGCGAAGCTGAGACGAATGTTTCGATGTTAATCAGTGGTACTGTATTGTGCTCGGGGTTACGCAATCACATAGGTTACGCTGATCAATGCGAGTTCTTAAGAGCGAATCCAGTTTGCTCTCCTGATGGCTTCTTTGATTACCTCAGCTTCTTCTACTGCTCCTGCAGAGATTTCAAGATCTTGGGTTACATGATATTGGGTGTTTGGCTTGTTGCGTTGTTTTATCTCCTGGGTAACACTGCTGCGGATTACTTTTGCTGCTCGTTGGAGAAGCTCTCAAAGCTTTTGAGGCTGCCTCCGACTGTTGCTGGCGTTACTCTGCTTCCGCTTGGGAACGGAGCGCCGGATGTGTTTGCGAGTATAGCTGCTTTTGTTGGCACAAATAAAGGAGAAGTGGGTCTCAACAGCGTCTTGGGCGGTGCTGTGTTTGTGACTTGCGTTGTTGTTGGGATTGTTTCGCTTTGCGTTGCGGAGATGGAAGTCAAGATCGATAAGAAATGCTTCATCAGAGACTTGAGTTTCTTCCTTTTGACGCTTGTGTCTCTGCTGGTGATTCTCATGGTTGGTAAAGTGACGGTGCGGATTGCGATCGCGTTTGTCTCGATATATGCGGTTTATGCTTTCCTTGTGGCGGCGAATGTGATTTTGAGGAAACATGCGAAGAGGTTTAAGCTGGACGCTATTACTCCTTTGCTACCTATGCAAGGAAGTGTGTTTTCACCGAGTGTTGAAGATGATATTCCAATGAATAGCCCCTTGATCGAGACTGACCCTGAGGATGGTCCTCCTCGGCTACAGAACTCTCTTCCTCAATGGATGTGGGCTTCGAATGTGGCCATCTACTCAAACCATTTCGCGAGAGTTAGTGTACAAGAAAGTGACAGACCACCTTGGGGATGGATTGATGACAGTGCGGAAGTTGAGAGCTCCTTATGTACGAAATTCACTTCCTTGTTGGAAATTCCACTGACGATCCCAAGGAGGTTAACAATTCCATCTGTCGAGGAAGATACATGGTCAAAGACTTATGCTGTGGCCAGCGTAACGTTAGCCCCTGTACTTTTTGCTGCTCTCTGGAGTAGCCAAGACAGTGTGAGTTCACAAGCTTGTGGTGTGGCTTACTTCATCGGCGTTGCGATTGGGACTACTCTTGGTTTTCTTGCTTACAAGAACACGGAGCCGGATCACCCACCTCGGACATTCTTGATCCCTTGGGTTCTTGGTGGGTTTATCATGAGCATCGTGTGGTTTTACATGATTGCAAACGAGCTCGTTGCTCTTCTGGTGACATTTGGTGAGATCTACGGAATCAACCCGTCGATACTTGCGTTAACAGTACTTGCTTGGGGAAACTCAATGGGTGACTTAGTGTCGAGTATCGCATTGTCGATGAACGGTGGGGATGGTGTACAGATCGCTCTGTCCGGATGCTATGCAGGTCCAATGTTCAACACACTTGTCGGGCTCGGTATGTCGTTGCTTCTCGGCGCATGGACCAAGAGTCCTGACACATACATGCTACCGCAAGACAAGAGCCTGTTTTACACACTCGGGTTTCTCGTACTCGGTTTGGTTTGGGCTTTGGTTATGCTCCCGCGCAACGACATGCGACCTAACAAGATCTTAGGTATTGGACTCATTGCTTTGTATCTGATATTCGTCACTTTCAGGCTCAGTTGCGCCATGGGTTTCATACCATGGGCTGCTTAAAAGCTGTATTGCCTTGTTCTCATCTCTAACCAAACAACTAATCCAGAGGCTAATGTATGTATACAAAACTTTGTAATCTTTGTTCAGAGCTTGTGCGTTTGCTTCTTATTGGTTTGGCGTTTTGTCATACCTGCCAGGTTTTTACAACCGCAAGATTCGTCTTATCCCTCGTGTCGATATTAAATTTAAATCGCAGTCATGTGACCCACGTCTCCGCCTTGATAATAATTCTATTGTTGAGTGGTTTTAATAAATACAAGACCGATTTTTTTTTTCTTTTTGGGGATACCATTTGGCACCAATTATTCATAAATTGCTGACGTGGCATCCAGACGAAATACAAGATTCAGAAGAACAGAGCGATTAATATATACGTAACCAAAGTATCGCCCACAAACGAATCTTCTTCCATCGCCATTGCCATGGCTAAGCTCTCTATCTTCTCCGGCTTCTTCGTCTTCTCTCTCTTCCTCTGTTTCTTATCCTCGTTTTCTTCATCGGAAGACTTAGAATCCTACATCGTCCATGTGCAGAGAGCTCATAAGCCATCTCTCTTCTCCTCCAACAACCACTGGCACGTTTCCCTCCTCCGTTCTCTACCTTCTTCTCCCCAACCCGCCACGCTCCTTTACTCTTACTCACGCGCCGTACATGGCTTCTCCGCTCGTCTCTCCCCTATCCAAACCGCCGCTCTCCGCCGTCACCCTTCTGTGATCTCCGTTATACCAGATCAGGCGCGTGAGATCCATACCACTCATACCCCTGCCTTTCTTGGTTTCTCCGATAACTCTGGTCTCTGGAGCAACTCCAATTACGGAGAGGACGTGATTGTTGGCGTTCTAGACACTGGTATCTGGCCGGAGCATCCGAGTTTCTCGGATTCAGGTCTCGATCCCGTCCCATCCACCTGGAAAGGCGAGTGCGAGATCGGACCGGACTTTCTCGCCTCTTCTTGCAATCGGAAACTCATCGGTGCTCGAGCGTTCTACAGGGGATATTTAACGCATCACAATGGGTCATCGCTCACAGCCAAGGAGTCGAGATCGCCGCGCGATACAGAGGGTCATGGCACGCACACGGCATCTACGGCGGCTGGATCGGTGGTGGCCAACGCGAGCTTGTTCCAGTACGCGCAGGGAAGTGCGCGTGGGATGGCGTCTAAGGCGAGAATCGCCGCCTACAAAATCTGCTGGACCGGCGGGTGCTATGACTCCGATATCCTCGCTGCCATGGATCAGGCTGTTGCGGACGGTGTTCACGTGATCTCTCTCTCCGTAGGCGCCAGCGGCTACGCTCCGGAGTATCACAAGGACTCTATCGCGATCGGAGCATTTGGAGCGACGCGGCATGGCATCGTCGTTTCCTGCTCCGCCGGAAACTCTGGTCCTGGCCCCCAAACCGCCACCAACATCGCTCCCTGGATCCTAACCGTTGGTGCGTCCACGGTCGACAGAGAATTCTCCGCAAACGCAATCACTGGCGACGGGAAAGTCTTCACGGGAACGTCACTATACGCTGGCGAGCCTCTCCCCGATTCTCAAATTTCTTTGGTATATTCCGGCGACTGCGGAAGCAGATTGTGCTACCCGGGAAAATTGAACTCATCATTGGTGGAAGGCAAAATCGTTCTCTGTGACAGAGGAGGCAACGCCAGAGTTGAGAAAGGAAGTGCCGTCAAGCTAGCTGGCGGCGCGGGGATGATTCTGGCGAACACAGCTGAAAGCGGTGAAGAACTCACCGCCGATTCGCATCTCGTCCCGGCTACGATGGTCGGAGCTAAAGCTGGAGATCAAATCCGCGACTACATCAAAACCTCAGACTCTCCCACCGCAGAAATCGAATTCCTAGGCACCCTAATCGGTCCATCTCCTCCTTCTCCCAGAGTCGCCGCCTTCTCCAGCCGTGGACCGAATCACTTGACGCCGGTTATCCTCAAACCGGACGTAATTGCGCCAGGAGTCAACATCTTAGCCGGTTGGACCGGAATGGTAGGTCCGACCGATTTGGATATCGACCCAAGACGGGTCCAATTCAATATCATCTCCGGCACATCAATGTCGTGCCCACACGTCAGCGGGCTCGCCGCTCTCCTCCGTAAAGCCCATCCCGATTGGTCGCCTGCAGCCATCAAATCCGCCCTCGTTACAACCGCTTACGATGTCGAAAACTCCGGCGCACCAATAGAGGATCTCGCCACCGGGGAGCCGTCAAACTCGTTCATCCATGGAGCCGGGCACGTCGATCCGAACAAAGCTTTGAATCCTGGTTTGGTTTACGACATCGACGTCAAAGAGTACGTCGCTTTCCTCTGCGCCGTGGGATACGAGTTTCCGGGGATTCTAGTCTTCCTCCAGGATCCAACTCTTTACAACGCCTGCGAGACGAGCAAGCTAAGAACCGCCGGCGATCTTAACTACCCTTCTTTCTCCGTCGTATTCGGATCGACCGTCGATGTTGTGAAATACAGAAGAGTTGTTAAAAACGTGGGAAGCGACGTCGACGCGGTGTACGAAGTCGGGGTTAAATCTCCGGCGAATGTTGAGATTGAGGTGTCTCCGAGCAAGCTTGCGTTTAGCAAGGAGAAGAGCGAGTTGGAATACGAAGTGACGTTTAAGAGCGTTGTGCTCGGCGGAGGAGTCGGAGCCGTGCCTGGTCATGAGTTCGGGTCGATTGAGTGGACCGACGGCGAACACGTGGTTAAGAGTCCGGTGGCTGTTCAATGGGGTCAGAGCTCAGTTCAGTCCTTCTAAACAGACAGTTAAAATTGGGCCTTGGTTTATGTTTCCACACACAAATTTCGTATCGGGCTTCTTTAATGGGTCTTGTTGTTAATGGTCCGATCTGTACTCATTTATTAAGCCCTTCCTCTTGGGTTAGACCACTATGCATGGGGTGAATGAGTATAAAATGGATTTGCATTTGTAAAGTTTGTAAAACATTGCAAGAAATGTTTTTTTTTCAATAAACCAGACAATTTCGATCTGACTAAAAGGAAAAAAGAAGGTCATTTCTCTATAATTTTTCTTTTAATCAAGGTTATCAAAAACTTCAGTTTTCAATTCTGTAGTCTGTACTCACGAGAGCGAAAGAAAAGAAAAAAAAGGACTCCAATAGTCAACATCAAACCAAAAATGAATAAATAAACATTAGCCGACCATCACTTGACACACACACAATACTAAAAGAAGTCAAGAAGTATATCAATTTCCGGTGAATTGTTTTCACCAGAATCTACATAATTGCACTAAAGTTGACTTTCTATGTAATAGAGACAAAAGGGTCCCTTTGATCTACGTAACTAGGTGTCGTCTTCTGCACCTAGACATAGATGGCGCTTACACTTTGCTTGTCTAAGCTTAGCTACTTATTACATTTCTAAATTATACTAATACACATTCGTATGCGCTAGAGACTAGAGTAAATGGTTACCGAAATTGTATTAACCAAGCCATAGATGGATTTGGGCATGTTTAACTAAGAGCGCCACATGTGCTAAATTGACTCAATCGATATGAGACCAGTTAAAAAGCATGTTAGATGTTTACCCAAAATTTTCCTATAGTACAGCGACTAAAAACGAATATTCGATCTGACCAACTTCTTAGATAAATGGTTAATATTTTACAATATTGATTGATCAACGATCTCTGTATGAAACTTGACTAGTATCAATTGACATTTTGATACGATGGAACATACTGCTAGATGATAACATGCATCATCTGCTCTGCAGTCCATTTTCTATCTAATTTTTCGTTCTTCCAGTTGATTTCTTTACCTTTTTCAATTAATTTCAGTTCAAAAATTATATGTCAAAATATGTGGCTCTACTGAAATGTCGTGATATCTAGGTCATCCCCTATATGGCTATATAGATAAAATTGTAACGGCGAAAACCAACAAATGGTTTATGATTTGGACATAAGAGACTAAATTACGGAAATTACGTAGAATATCATATTAACTCGTCAGTGACTGGCTAACAAACTCCATGACTCCAGTCTCTCTCTCTCTATATAATAAGTCTCTCAATATAACTCCATGGACCATCTTCCTTTATTACTCTTTCTTCTACAAAGTTCTCTCGCTAGCTATCCCAATGGATCCCCATTCAGTGATCACTTCCGCATTCCGGTGGCCGTCAAGTCGCCGTAAGGTCTATCTCCGTCGGCGTAAGCCACAAGTCGTACGCCTCGGCGGAAAAAACAGTAAACCACGTGGCAGGTTCACGCTCAAGAGGATGGTGACAAGGATGAGGCTCAAGTGGCTGAGACTGTACTACGTGAGGCTCGTGAAGAAGATCCAAGGGTATTATCGTGATTTGGTTAAGGAGTTTGCGGACGCCGGAGCCACCACTATCCAGCAACGGATGACGGTGGAAACGGCGGCTTTTGCGGCCCCTGGATTAGGTCTATCTATCTACCCCATGTCCGGCCAAGATCGACCCCGTTTTTTTCTTGTATAGCTAAATAATTATTGCTTAACTTCTTGATCACTATCAAATTAGTTAGCTTCGTTAAAATGTCAAATTATATTGCTACTTTTAAATTTGCTATTAATTAAAGGTAGCTGTAAGCAATACTATAATATACTAGCGATGTCACAAAATTGTCAGGAGTATAAAACATTTTGAACAGAACAGAAAAATTAAAATAATAGAGAAATTCGAATAACTGGATGGATTATGGGAATAAACTTGTTCTGTAAGAGTTATTGTCGGCGATCTAACTGATAAGCAGATAGATATTGCTATTCAGATCCTAGACATTTTTAAGTTACAGAATATGTATGTTCTTTTTTTTGGTAATGCAACGGGGAACAAAAGAGTCCCCCATGGTTTTATTCATAAAAAAGAAGTTACACAATCACTTGTCTAGGGAAAGTAGTCGCTACAACATCCTTCTCCAAAATACTTCTAAAGACGAGGGTACAAACTCAAATAAATGGAAACCCAACGGTAGAGTAAAAGTAAGGTTCGCCAAATCATCTGCAAGTCGATTGCCTTCCCGAAACACATGTTTGACGTGGACTAATCAGTCCTGTAAAAAGTCTTGGCACAACCGTACCAGAAACGATAAGGGGTGGGAGTCGTTCACCCCTTTCTCCAGAATATGTATGTTCTTGTGGTGGAATCGTTTTTTTTCCTCTGTAACTTATATGAAAAGTTTTGAAGGACATTTATATGAGATCTCATTAGATTCGAGTACATTTATGCTATCATGAAGTTTTAAGAAAGAAATAGCAGACATACAGTACATAGGTTTTATTATTCTGCCAAGCAGCACAAACATATACTCCTAATCTGTTTGAAAAGATTATTGGGGTCCCTGATGAATAATGATTGGTCTGTTAGTAAGGAAACATGTTTTCTTTGTTTCAAACTCTTCTGTTCTCAGAAAAACAAAACTCTTGTTTTGAAAAGACTTAGACTAGAGTTAAGAGAGTGATAAGATAAATCATTAATGGGTTTATAAACCCAAAATGTATTTTACCCTTTTAGTTCAGCCCAGGCCACCAAACTTAATTCAAAGAGCCCCAAAATACTATTGTGCAAATCTAATCGGAGTAAACAAACCAAACCATAATATAAGCTAGCGGTTTATCTTTGATCGGTTAAGAGAAAACCGGAACGAGATACATGTGTGTGAAGTCAAGATGCGTGTGAGGAAAGGGTGGTTTGCGTGAAGGAACGAATAAAAGGCAGCGGGAACAATTCCACGTGGACAAGTCATATGGCTGCTGACTAAAACCTAATACTTTGCTTCTTACGCAAATCGCATTCCGTAATTTGTTGTCTCGGGACCACCTCTCTTGTTCTTGTTTTCTAATGCACTCTTAAATCGAAAACAACCAATTTTGATTCCGTAAAAATATCTCGAATGCTCCATATAAAGCCAATACATATTGTTCTAACCAACTCAAATTGAAATATGATCCTTCTTCTGCCGCCGACGTAGAAAACCACGTCATTATAAAACGATCATATCATTATCATACGTCTTTTATACACCAACGCACGTGATAAAGAATTAAGAATGTAACAGGGCTATTGAGTATTGACTATTGACCAGTTGACTCTTAACAACCGTAAGAAATCGAAAATAGAGTTTTACGGCTGTAATTCAATCTGAATATGAAATTGCAACCGTAGCCGTCTGATTCGGGTAAACACGCGATCCCCACAAGTCGCGGAGGTGGAGCTGGGGAGTGTACACGTGGGACGAGCGTGACAGCCATTTTTCTTTCATGGCCGCCGATTCGGACGCGTGCCATGTTCGTTTTTGGCCGACTTGGCTCCACGTGGCGACTTTTCTTGCTGCGATAGTTTTTCTCCAAGACGCGTCGGTGTCCTTATCTAAAATTCTAAACTCCTCCTCTAATCTTCTAGAGCATCGCAATAAACCCAAAACAGTTTCTAAAATTAATCGCTCAATGCACTGAGAATGTCACTATTGCCCCTGCCTAGTAACAACCATATATGTTAATATGGACCCAGATTCCACACCTGGAATCTAGCCCGTAAGGGCCCATTACCTTGATCCAAGATTGAAGTCCAGGCCCACTCAAGCCCAGCAAGAAGACCTCGAGCCCACCAAGCGACTCCCTCGTAAGCCAGTTAACTGCCATCCGAGCTATTCCGGTCGACGTAAAGACGAGCTCCAGCTCGATCAAGGACCAGGTCGGCACTGCGAAGAAAGACGAAGTCAAAGAAGATCTCCTTCAAATCCGGTCTGGTCCGAGATCACCGGGATCGTTAGCTGCACGTGGCGAGATACGCGGAGGTGGATCGTAGCTGATTCTGGAGCTATAAAAGGAGCTTGAAGCAGTCGGATCGGGAGACATCTTCTTCCGATCACTTTAGACCTAATTACTATCATACTTTCCTTGTATTCACCTTTGAGCTTAGTTCTTTCTCTCTTCTGAGAATTCATTGTAACCAAATTCATTCGTTTAATACAATTCCGTTTAGCCAAATCCTTGCTTACGATTCATTCGACTTACATCAAAATCTAGCCCTAAATCTCCCTAAGTTTCTTCCTTGCAAAACCTATAAATTTCGAGTGTGGTTTTCATAGCTCACAATATATATTTTTTTTTCTTTTTTTTTTTGTCAACGCATATTTGATTACTTGAATGTTTTCTAATTAGATGTTTGACTGTGGATATATCACATTGCAAAATTTAATCGGTAATGATTTTTTTCATTTTCTTTCCTCACTCGAAATATATTCGTTAGCAAAGAAGACAATATCTCGTGGTGGACCATCTTTTTCTACAATCTGCTGATTTTTGTTCGTGTTTAAAGTATCAAACCCCAATTTGCCAAAAGGTATAGCAAATATATTAAATAATAAAGTCGTTTTTCAACACTCGTCATCATAATTATATGAATCAAGCTGATGCAAATGGGATGACTCATCTGCCGTATAAAGTATAAACTGTACTATAACCATTTTAAACAAAAAAACTGAAGAAGAAAAAATATATTTTTCAAAAAAGATTCCAAGAGGATAAGAAGATATATAAAAATGATTATTATAATAAAGTAAAATTCATACAAAACAATATGGCGGGGTCATGCATTTGGCGTGAAGGTAAAGAAAGCATATGTTAACAATGATTACGAATATTTCTCATTAGAAATACTGAAATAGTGAGGTAAGAAAAAAAAAATCTGAAATAATATTGTAATAAAAAAATCTAGAAGTAGTAAAAAAATAAAATAAATCAGTACTACGAGTTTAGGTTAAAATACAGTTAATGTCTTTTACCAACACACAAAGTCATTTACTGACTTCTCCATAAATTATACTTTAATGTATTTTAGTACTCCCTCCGTTTCAAAATACTTGTCATTGTAGTTTTATTTTTTTTCATTTAAAATAGTTGTCGTTCTCACTTTCCAATACAAAATTTAATATTAAATATGTAATTTAATTTTAATCTAATAAAGAATACTAATAGTCAATTTACTTTTTAAAGGTATAATAGAGTTTTTAATCTATTTTATTAATTTACGTGAAATTTTCTAGAACGATAAGTAAAAAGAAACGGAGGGAATAGTTTATAGCCATTGGAGTTAGAGCTATCGATGTCATCTGACTGGATATCGTTAATCATTTAGCGTAGTCATCAGTTTTTTTTACTTGCAAGTCTCTTTAATGCAGAGGATTAGCTTAATTAAATGTACATGTATGTACTAGTGCCACTTAATCTATTTGTGTTTTGAGTTTGGAGGACAGATTGATAATTTGATGCAAGCAAAATTTAAATATAAAAATCAGAAGATCTCATAGATGACCACGGTTCGCGGATAAAGCATTACAAATAGTTTATTCTTAGATATACTGTGGACTGAATCAATACCCATTACAATTAAAAAGAATTTATATGTTTTGTGATCTACGACAGCAATGGATAATGACGTTAACGAGATTAGACTGTACTAATAATTCCACTTAGTCCAGTTAATTACCGATTAGACCAAAAGGGCATTTGAGTAATTATGGTTATCGGTTTAGCCTGGTCGGCCGAACTTAAACAGACGAATAAGAAGAGAGGAAGGAGAGAGAGTGGTTTCTTCTATGAAAAATCGAAGAGGGAAAAAGAAATATCTAATTGATTAATTTCCTTAAAGCAAAGCGTCTTCGTCTCTTCTTCTTCTTCCTCACACACCCTCTTGTCTGCATTATAGTCGTTTTCTGCAGTTTTCCCCTCTTCATTTTCTTATTTTAACTCGTTTAAATTGTACATACATAGCTTGGATTTTGATCTGTTCTTCTTCCAATCTAAAATAATATTCTTTGGGTATAAAAATTAAATTTGGATTCTCAAATTTGGGTGGGTTTCGTGTTAGAATTCGTGTGTTCTGAGTTTCCATAAGAAAAAGGTGACTTTGATTCCCGGGAAATTGACGTATCCGAGGAGCTAATTCTGGGAATTTGCAAAGGATTTCTGGATATTCTTTATTCTTTTAATTCGTTCTCTTGTTCATTGATTTTCGAAATCCTGAACCAGCGAGCTCCAATGGTGGTGGCGACGACCATAGCGCTTTACGCTAGCCCACCTAGCGGCGTTTGTTCCACGCCGCATCAGATCACCGCTTGTGATCTCGATCTCAGCTTCAGGAGCTCGTCGGCATCTCCTTCCACGCCGCAGAAACCAATCGTCGGAGGTCTCTCTTCCCTTTTCTCCGGCGCGTCTGTCAAATCCTTAGCTTCCTCCTGCTCCTCGTTCTCAGCCGGAGTAGAGGAATTCTCGTCCCTGCGCCATGATCGGAGTGAGGATCTGAGCTTGAGCAGCTCCTTCTGTTATTCTCCGGCGAAATTTGCGAATTCCTCGTACCTTAGACGGGACCATCAAAGCCCCATCTCTGTGCTTCACGGCCCAGTCTCGTGTAGTTGCAGCCCTCCGATGAGAGCTTCTCGCGATCGGAGTTTAGACGGAAGCTTCCATGGCTCATTTCGCGTAGGAGCTAGCGGATTATTCAATGGATTCGTTAGGAAAGCAATAGGCTCGTGTGTGGATTACGATTTGGGATCGTCTTCTTCGTCTTCGGATCCGATTCTCGTCGATGAGCTAACGTTTTCCATGGAAGATGGTTTTGGAGCAGATACTAGACAGCCATATGCTAGGGATTTGCTAGGACGTGCTCAATTGAGGCACTCAATCTTCAAAGACGAATCCGTTATCAAAGCATTTTACGAAGCAGAGAAAGCTCACAGAGGACAGGTACAAAAACAATTTCATGAATTTTCGAGTGGCTTTGGATGTTCTCTAGAGTTTGGTGACTGAAGTTTTCGTTTTGATGTGTGTAAATCAGATGAGAGCGAGTGGTGATCCTTACTTGCAACATTGCGTTGAGACTGCTTTGTTGCTGGCTAGTATCGGAGCTAACTCCACCGTTGTCGTGGCTGGGCTGCTTCACGATACTATGGACGATTCATTCATGAGCTATGATTACATTCTCAGAAACTTTGGTGCAGGAGTTGCTGATTTGGTCGAAGGGGTAAGAAACAAGCAACATCTATCGACTTGTTATTGGTTGAGATTCTTGGTGCTTGTTAGCTAATTGAGCTCAATGTGTATATAGGTCTCAAAGCTTAGCCAATTGAGCAAACTCGCTAGAGAGAACAACACGGCGTGTAAAACTGTGGAAGCAGATCGCTTGCATACAATGTTTCTTGCAATGGCAGATGCGAGAGCTGTTCTTATAAAACTTGCTGATCGTCTGCACAACATGATGACGCTATACGCTCTCTCCCCAGTGAAGCAGCAGAGGTTTGCTAAAGAGACGCTTGAAATATTCGCACCTCTGGCTAATCGATTGGGAATCTCTACATGGAAAGTCCAGCTTGAGAATCTTTGTTTCAAGCATCTTTACCCGCAGCAGCATAACGAGATGTCAACCATGTTCGAGGATTCATTCGATGAAGCTATGATTACTTCTGCTATAGAGAAGTTGGAGGAAGCTCTCAAGAAAGAAGGCATTTCTTATCATGTTCTCTGTGGTCGGCACAAGAGCTTGTATAGTATCTACTGCAAGATGTTGAAGTAAGCTCTCCTTCCTAGTTCCTCCCCTTTTCACAGATGAAACAGTGTGAGTGAAACCAGAAGACTAATGTTGATGTTGCCTTTATGATCTCAGGAAAAAGCTAACTGTAGATGAGATTCACGACATTCATGGGTTACGTTTGATTGTTAATAACGAAGGAGATTGTTACAAGGCCTTAGGAGTAGTTCATAGTTTATGGTCTCAAGTTCCTGGGAAGCTCAAGGATTACATAACTCATCCCAAGTTCAATGGGTATGTTTTTTTGTCTAAGCTTGCTATGGCTTGTTAAAAGTTTTACGAATCTGACTTTTAAGATTTTGTTTAACTCTAGGTATCAATCTTTGCACACGGTAGTGATGGATAATGGAACAGTTCCACTTGAAGTCCAGATACGTACACAGGAGATGCATTTGCAAGCTGAGTTTGGGTTTGCAGCTCACTGGAGGTACAAGGAAGGTGACTGCAAATACTCTTCGTTTGTGCTTCAGATGGTTGAATGGGCTCGGTGGGTTGTAACTTGGCACTGTGAAACAATGAGCAAAGACCGATCTTCCATCCGTTCTTCTGATTCCATCAAACCCCCTTGCAAGTTTCCTTCTCACTCTGAGGACTGCCCGGCTTCTTACAAGCCTAACAGTAGCCAGGACGGACCAGTCTATGTCATCGTCATCGAAAATGAAAAGGTTTGTCACTTTGTTGTATAAACTCTTCTCTAGCACAGGTTGATTGTGTTATATTGAACGAATCAGAAACATTGCAGATGTCTGTGCAAGAGTTCCCAGCGAACTCTACGTTGTCGGATCTGCTGAGCCGGGCGGGGCCAGGGAGCTCGAGGTGGTCCATGTATGGGATACCAGCAAAGGAAGAGCTAAGGCCGAGACTGAACCAGAGACCTGTAAGCGACCTAAAGGGGAAGCTGAAGATGGGTGATGTGGTGGAGCTGACTCCACCAATTCCTGATGAGTCTCTGCCTGAGTACAGAGAAGAGATCCAACGTATGTATGATCGAGGGCTCGCGTTTTCCCGCCCTGGAACAATGGTCGGATGGGGAAGCTGATTCTTATATTAACAAAGTCCATATCATGTATGTGTATGTGTATATAGTAATGATTAATTTGTTGTACATAACAATGCTTCTGTTGATTCAGTGTAAAGCTGGAAATGTTAAATGAAAAATAGACTCTTATCGTCTTACTCGTACAACGATCTTCATGCAGCCAGCATCCGCAAGTATCTGATTCTAAAGTGCTAAAACTTTGGGATATTCAGTTTTTATGATTCGATTACACGGAGATTTTCGATTTCACAGCAGAGAGGTTTGGGCCTCGTTTAGGAGTATTCAAGTTGACATTAAACATAATAATACACTGGAGCACATTACATAAGTCTAAAAACACAAATAAAGTGCAGCACATATTATTCCAATGATAAGAAACAAACGTATTTTAGTATGATTATAAACGAAGAAAATCTTACTATAGTTTTAATTTTCTTCCTAATACCGAGTCTCTAAATATCTATTGCTAAATTAACTGGAAATTAACTGTTTTATGTAAAATACAGAAACGTTTATGATTGTAAGATACAATGCCCACATCCTAAGTATTTTGAGTGAATGAAGAGATGAGAAAAAAGTAGGTAAAAATCCCACAATGAACCAAATAAGAGATATGACTTAAATCTACCAAATGAATTTATATCAATGAGAAATGTGTTTACAGAGAAGATTCGTAATGCGATAGCTCTTAAGCATACAAGAGAATAAGAGAATGAGTAAAAGATGATCCGCCTCCATTTGCCCTAGTTGCCTTATATATATCCACTTCGGCTTCCAGCTACAGCATGATATTGGGTGTTCGTTCTCCAGATTCTCGGTGATCTCCATTGAACAGTTTTTACTCGATCTCCTACTTTAATACTTGATAAGCAGAAAGCAGGAAAACTAATATTTCATACAAGAATTTTAAACTTTTGTATATTTTATTTTAGAGAAATTCCGGATAGTTTCGAAATCCTGAAGCAAAAAGAATATACGGATAACTTCGAATTTAAAGGATTTTTTTGGGGATTTTTAGTAGTTGGAAATAAGATAGCTCTCGGATTAAATCATGCGTATCTTGAGAATCGGATCTTTAATTACATGAGATAGACGATTGAGATGAAGAGAAAAAGATTTTTCTCTCGATTTTGGTAACAACACTTATTGCTATATTTAACCCACTATCTTACAATTCCTTAACTGTGCACGTCTCCGCTACTCTTCCCAAAGTAATTTCTTCTTTCCATTCTTCTTGCTTTAAGTTCTTTATTTATGTTTTTTTTTGTTTACATGTTTTCGAGAAAAAATTGTCTTCTTTCTGCAAAGAGTTATTTGTTTTGTTTTGAATCCGTTTTTTTCGAAAATGAGTTAAGCTTTAGTTGCTTTCGAGTTTTATGGCGGAAACACGTCCAACTGCTGCGGCTGCGAAAAAACGTTGTCAAAAGAAGTATGGTCCTCACGAGAGATCTAAGATCACCTCAGATGAAATCAAAGACCTCAAGGCTCTGTATGGAGTGAAGATCACCACTCCGAGGAAGCATGAGTCGGCGGCCTCCCTCCGTTTCTCGTGGAGATCATGGCTAATCTAAAGATCGCGCTCCCTCAGATCTGTCCGCGGACCCTAATCGCGCTCAAAGTATTGTTGTGCGAGCAGGGGTTATGTTTTGGATCGACGAATTCCACCAGCTTTGCTCAATGAAGGGGAACAATCGCTTTCCCGGCTCGTTTTACTCCTCTCCTGGCCATAACCGCACGATCGACAAAGCTTCTGTGGGGGATTTCGATTTTGACAGGATCCCCAAAGCTTAGGCGGACGCAGTTGGTCAGGGGGAATTAATTTTAGTTTTAATTAGTTTAACGATTAAGAGCTGTTTCTGTCTTAATCATTGTTCGTCTAAGTACTTGGTTGTTTTAACCTTTGGTTTTTCCCACGTGTTTGCAGAAGCACCATATAGGATCAAATGCGATCAAGTTTTGAAGAAGCGAACTGTGCTACTTCGGCATACGATTTTCCTGCTCCGTTCATAGATTTGGATCAGGCTCCTGTTCGTCGAGGTACATATGCGAATACTACCTGTTTTGTGGTTTTGAATTTGTTAGTAGACCTTATTTTGACTTGGCGTGTCTGATTGCAGGCGGTTCTACTCTGCAAATTCCGGATACAGGCTCATCAGCTTTGAATAGCAGGAGGAGACTTACTCAATGTCAGCTCGAGAAACAGCAAGGGAAAGCTCTGGTGGGTGACATGCCAGGGCTCGTTCTGGTTTTGCTGGAAACAATTTTGACGAAGTGATATGCGAGGCGAACACATTGTTGGCGCGGCAAAAAAAAAGAGGAAACTTTTGTCCATCTCCTCCAGCTCGCGAACCCGACCACTGACAATGCCAGCATCGCATCAGGATGCGCTTGCGCCAGTTGAGACTCCAAGTCGCTTATCCTTTTCTTCTGGCAAGAAGCGGCCTCAAACTCCAGCTTGTAATCCTCCTCCAGCTTCTGCGATACCTTCAGGGATGAGGATAGCTTCCCGATCATCTCCTTCATCGTTCAACTCCGGTTTGCTGAGCTGAATCCCTCACATAATTCTCAAAAATGGCCATGGGTTGCCGGTTGATTCTCCCAGAGTTCGGGGAACATGCCGTTCCATTGGGATTTCAAGCATCGTAAAGATGTTCCTATCTTGGACGACGAGGTGGGACGGACTCAGTTTGAGAGGCATCTCAAGGCTGATGGTTGTGTGTTGCCCTCCGTAAACGAGATGAGCATTCACCATGGCCATATCAATATAGGCGTGACGCTCTGTCATCTCGTTCCAGCACACAACCAGTAGCCTTGAGATGCCTCTCAAACTGAGCCCGTCCCACCTCGTCGTCCAAGATAGAAACATCCTTACGATGCTTGAAATCCCAATGGAACGGCCTGTTCCCCGAACTCTGGGAGAATCAACCGGCAACCCATGACCATCTTTGAGAATTATGTGAGGGATTCAGCTCAGCAAACCCGAGTTGAACGATGAAGCTATCCTTATCGCAGAAGCTGGAGGAGGATTACAAGCTGGAGGCCACTTCTTGTCTGAAGAAAAGGATAAGCGACTTGGAGTCTCAACTCGCGCGTGCTGATGCTCACATTGTCATCGATCAGGTTCACGAGCTGGAAGAGATGGACAAGAGTTTCGCTATGAACCGTGAAAGATTGAAAAGCCAGAAGAAGAGGGTTTGTCATCATCATCATCCCTATCTCTGTATCTTGTTGCTTCTTTAGATAGCATAATCAATCCGGCTTTAGATAACATAATCAAACTAAGCTATTTACTTGTGTATTTTGTTGCTTCTTTTTCTACACCAAAGTTTCATTTGAACAAGACTGTCTTTCCACAGGTCGGAGAGAACGGATAAAATGATAAAAGGATCTTATATTTAGGAATAAACTACTCCGACTATAATAGTGTTCTTAAAATAACAGAGAGAGCCTGATTGTGGTTCTGATAGAAAAAGAGTGTGTATTGTCTACATCAAATGTATCACACTAAAAAGAAGATTGATATGAAGGTGGATGTTGAGAGGTTGAGAAAAGCCAACAAGTAGAGAACCATAACTGTAAGCTGGTTGACCAAACAGAGAAAGCTATGTCTTGTGTTGGAGACGAGCAGCTCGCTGTGTTATTTCAATACCGCGACGAATGTGAGAGAATTCAGAGAAAGATGCTGTTTTGTTAGAATCTGCAGGATAGCCCGTATTATTAGGTCAAGCTAGCAAATCAACGGCTTAGACCTAGCAAAGTCTTTTGAAACGTGAAGCAAAAGTAACAGAGGAGGTTGATATAGGTTTGGACAAAAAAAGAAAATGACTACTTTCCTATTTTAAAAAGAAATAGAAAGTAAAATTATAACGACGGTTATTTAAACCGATTTGAGATAAATCACAATTTTTGTTACACAGCCTTGATTAATCGTTGAAACCTAAAAACTCAAAAGTCAAAAACAATGGCGAAGATGTCGGATCTTTCCGAGGATTTGGCAAGAGAGTACTCTCTAGGGTTCGATTAACATCTCAGAGATCAGTGCGATCTACTTGCAAAAACTGGAACGCTTTATCGAAGTCAGCATCAAGGAACCAGTTTCTAGGGTTCATGATGATGGATTCAAAGGTTTGTTCCTTGATGTTCGATTTGGAAAGAATCCGCAACAGCGACGAAGCTTTCGTTGATCGAGTAATAAACCAAGTAAGTGTACTTGATCACATGGAGATATCGAAAACCTTTTACTGCGAGGGATTATTGTTACTTGTCACAAAAGACTCGAGGCCCTTGGTATGGAACCCCTGTATGAATCAACTCTTGAAGATCCGACCAAGAAACAGTTACAGCAGATTAGACCAGTATGCTTTCGGTTACGACAACAACAACCGAAACCACAAAGTCTTGAGGTTTATAGATGAGTACTTATTCACTGACGGACTCGTAAAACACGCTCTTACGTACCAAGTCTTCGATCTCGCCTCGGAGTCATGGAGAGTTGTTGATGTCACTCCAGACTGGGATATCAAATCTTATCAACGTGGTGTGTCTTTGAAGGGAAACGCTTACTTTTTCGCTCAAGAGAAAACTACAAGACTGGAGTTTGAGATTCAAGATTTCTTACTATGTTTTGATTTTACAAGAGAGAGATTTGGTCCACGTCTGCCTCTGCCTTTTCACTCTTATGCCAGAGACACTGTGGCTTTGTCTTGCGTTAGAGAAGAGAAGCTCTCGGTTTTACATCAGAGCAAGAGGCTTCTTGATACGATGGAGATTTGGGTTACCACTAAGATCGAGCACAGTGACGTGTCCTGGAGCAAGTTTCTGAGAGTTGATATGAGACCACTCACTGGTTTTCAGTTTGACTATAAAAGTGGGAGTTTCTTCATTCACGAGGAGAAGAAACTCGCAGTGGTTTTCGATCTAGACGGATACAAACCGACACGTTGTCGCTACCAAACAGCTCACATCATTGGAGAAGATGGATATTACAAATCTGTGAATATTAAAGAAGCTAAGGATCTTGGGGAACCTGGTATGTCCGTATATTGTGTCCCACTTGTGTGTTCTTCTTCTTATGTTCCAAGCTTAGTGCAACTAGGCAAAAGGAAAGAAAGAGATTATTAACTACTTCAGTCTTCATAATTCTGTTTCTTGCATCTCCTTTTATGTACTCGTTTCATCTTTCAATTTTATTTCTTTTAGTTCTGAAATAGCTACAAGAACTTCTCTTGGGTTACAACATTCTTCAGCAGTTTTAAGATATATAATCTTTTCAAAGTTTGGTCTACTTCACAATAAAAAAACTTTTAAGATAACGTTTACACAAGTCTTTTGGTCAACATTTTGAACAAGA